AACCCTCAGTGTCGCGCCCGTACTGGACCGGGACCGGCAACGGGATCGCAACCCTCGGTGTTGCGCCCGCACCTCGCTCAGCCAGTGAGCGACCGGTCTGTATGTGGGATCCGAACCCTTGGCGGGAGCGCCACCGCACTTCCCAAGCGGCGCACTGTAGCAGTGCGCCACCGGGCCGGCCCCACTAGGAAAGTTTTGAACTTGGGCTGAAGAATCAGATTTCCTGAGCAACCCAGCTCAGGCACCTATGTGATCTTGGGAAAAATTTCTAAGCCCACGTTTCCTTATCAATAAAATGGGGATAAAAACAATACCTACTGCCTGGGATTGTTATGGGATAGTTTAGACCAGCATTTTTCTGTAGAAATATAATGCAAGCCACATATGTAATTTACATTTTCCAGTACCTGTATTTGAAAGGTAAAATGAAACTAATGAAATTCATTTTGGTGTATTTTAATGAACCCAATATATCCAAAATATTGTCCTTCCAACATGTAATCAATAATGAAACAAGTATTAATGAGATATTTTACATTTTAAAAAATCATATTAAGCCTTCAAAATCCAATGTAAATTTTGCACCTACCAGCACATCTTAGTTTGAACTAGCCATATCTCAGGTGCTCAATAGCTAGTGGCTACCGTATTGGGCAGTACTGTTTAAGCTAATTCATATAAAACATAACACCTTAGCTTATACTTAGCATTCAGCAAATGCTGGCAAAATTATTGTTATTCATTTTAAAACGTCAAAAATTGGGTAGACAAGCATTTGTACCGCACATTTGCATATGTTCAAAAAATATATCTGTGGCATCTTCCCATATGACAGTATATGCATGTGTGAAGATGCCTCAGATATGTTTTTGTTTCTGTTTCCAAAGAACAAGGGGCTGACTTTTTAGAGTTCTCAGCCTTTCCCTGCAAGTCGGCCTCTCTGGGTTTCAGAATGAGGTCAGTTTGGTGGTTTATGGTCTTTTCTTTGGGAGGTGGGGAAGGGGAAACTGAATGTGCCTCACGTGCTGCGTGCCTGTCTGTGTTTTGGCTCTTCTCTGTTTAATTATTTGGAGCTGGAACAACTTGATTTTAAAACAAAACATATGGGCTGAGAGTAATTGGGAGGACATTTGCGAGTGATGTAGCAGCGAAGGTATGTATCAAGTTGAGGCCCCTGTACTGCTTGCTTGCTTAGGTATTGTTTTCCTTAACTTCAAATTCGGTGTTCTTTTTCCAGATTCTTAAACCTTTGTTTGGAAAGTCACAGTCAGAGAAAGAAATATTGGAGCAAGATTATAAGGGAAATTGTGAATCTTCTTTAAATCCCTATTTTATATGCTCTCCTCTTTGTGGAAAACCATTTGTTTCCAAGCTATTTATAAGTTTGGGAAAGAAAAATGTTCTTTCAAAGTGCCAAGAGGAGAGGGGAGAACTTTACTTAAAGAGGAGAAAGTTAGCCAACCACTGAATTTCTCTCCTTAACGTCACTGCATTGCTGACACTAGAGTGGGGACTTTCTGTTCCACGACCAGTTCTTATCTGAGGGTGAGGGTTTTGTCTTTTTACCTCTTCAGAGCCTCATTTGCTTACTGGGGGAGGAATGTATGATGTCCTGATTATATGCCATACAATTCTAGTGTCTCATCTTTCTGTCACATAGGGGAAATGGGAATTTATCAGGATTGGTGAAGAACATGTACTCCTTTTGTTCAAATTTCTGCTCCTCATTTAGAAACTGTGTGCCTCTGAACAAGTTATTCAGACTCTCTAAGCCTCATTTTCCTCCGAGAAAGGGGGTAATAATATTGCCTATTTCAAAGTAAAATTGTTGTGAAGCTTAAAAGACAAACCGCATACAAAGTACTAAGCACATTGCCTGGCAAGTAATAAAGGCAATAAATGCTGTGATTAGGCAGTGGCCCTCAGCAGTAACATGTTCACACTCTTCAGCTGCAAGAGGCACAGGTGACCACAAAGTCCGCTGCCACAACAACCCACCCATTGCTTGTGGTGACATGTGACTAAATACTGCATCAGGGAAAATAACCAGATATCTGTCCATGAAGAACTTTAGCATTAGAAAGTCAGCCGTTTCTCTGGGATGGGTTTGACGTCAGTGTATGTGAAGTCAAAGCCTTAGCTCTGCGCTCTGTGCTTTCTAGGTCTGATGGGACGCATGTGTTCACTTGTCAGTTGTTACTCGATTTGTCCCAGAGCCTATAAATATGAGAGTAGCATGTTAAATTGTTTTATTTTTGTATTACAGAGTCCTAGATACCTTTGAGTCATTTGGGGCTTCATTTGTTGTTCTTGATCTGAAACGGAAAATGAAATAGCACCCCGACCAGGGCATTGGAGGGGCTGACCACAGTTTTTTTGTTGGGATGCTGAAAACAGGAAATGCTTCTAAACGCTTGTCAAACAGCTTCCCTATAGGTACAAGGGTAGGAAGAGAGGGATCTTCAGTTTTTGCCAAATCAAGGACATGCTTTTCTGTATAGGGGCTCAGAATGTACTGCCTACTACCTTACTTCAGTGTCAGATGATTGTCAGGAGCTTTGGGAAGTTCTACTTTTAAAAATACACCACATTTTCAGAGTGATTAATTGCCTTTTTTCAGTCTCCTCTTTCCCCTCTGCTCCCTCTATTTTCCCGTTCAGATTTATTAGGCTTTGCCTACCAAGTGTCAGTAACTCCCTGCCGTGAGTGGCGAAGACCTTGCCAAGTGGACAGCTCTGAGACTTCCCTGGAACTGTAAAGAATAACCACCCTCACTCTTGTTTTTTCTGCACACCCCTCTCAGGGGAAAGCTTTCCTGATATTTAACTTAATCAAAATGTTAGTAAAATAAGCAGAGTTTGCTGTTGCCATCAGACTGAAGCTGCTTGTCAACCTGCCTGCTCTCTTTTCACGTCAGTGTTTGGAAAGGAAATTCAGAGTTGCCATTGATAATAGAGATGAGGGATGAGATGTATCTTTCCTCATGTCCAGTTACACCCAGTCCTGATCATTGAGCTCTTGATGGGTCGACAGCCCTGTGCAGTGTGTCTTCAAATCTGTGGCACCCCAATTATAAGGCACACTTATTTTAGGTACCATCAAGGGGGAAATAAAACTATGAGATACTGTTGATTTTAAGACATATCCCAATTTCAGAGATGTTAAAATGTGAGGGGAAAATGTGTATCTTAGAGCAGATGGGATACAGTGAGACATAATTAAAGTGGAAAGTCTTCCTGGTTTTCAGCTGATTCCCACACCCCCCAAAAACCTCAATGAGGCTAATTGACAGAACTGTAAGATATGTGAGTATGTATGAGATGTGCCTGTGCATTAGGCTGAACGCTTAACTCAGTCCCATAGGTTATTTGTGTGCTCCATGTTACACATGAAGTTGTGGAACTGAGTCGAGACCAGGAAGAGTCATAGAAGTCCTCTGAATTACAATTTAAATAATTTAAGTTCCTGAAAAACAAGAAGAATCTAGGAATTTTCTTTGGGTCACACTGGACTGGAATAAGATTCATGTTACCTTTTGAAAGAGTGATAAAGAGCTTGTTGAGGGACATCAGGGGCTCTGTGAGTCCTCCCTGACCTGGCCCATTTATAATGGCTCTGTGGTGCAGAGAGGGGCCTCTAAATTCATGCCTCTGCTTGTCCATTTTCAAGTGAACACCAGGCTCAGATTCATGGGGCACTGTTTCCTCACCAACCATAAAAGGCAGCACTAAACACTATTGATAACTTTTATTTCACTCAAGGATCTACGTAATTATTGTTCTTTATAATTTGAATGACTTCTGAGCACCTATGTGTTTCCAGCCCCCCCCCCCCTTTTTTTTTTTCCGTTTTTTGTCTTTTTTCGTGACCGGCAACAGATCGCAACCCTCAGTGTTGCGCCCGCACCTCACTCAGCCAGTGAGCGGCCGGTCTGTATGTGGGATCCGAACCCTCGGCAGGAGCGCCGCTGTGCTCACAAGCGGCGCACTGTAGCAGTGCGCCACCGGGCCGGCCCTCCAGCCCTTCTTAATGCTCTATTCATGTTAAGTAAGGGGATTGTGGTATTTCCTTTCCTGGTAAAGATGGATACTCAGATGTTAGAGAAAACTATTTCCCAGCCAGGTAAAGTGACAAAAAGAATTGATTGAGGGCTGGCCAGTTGTCTCAGCTTAGTTAGAGCTTGATATTATAGCACCAAGGTCAAGGATTCAGATTCCTGGACAGGCCAGCCACCAAAAAAAACACAAACAAACAAACAAACAAACAAAAACTTATTTGTATTAGTGAAAACATACTGTTTACCCTTATACTTACACTGCTTTTTTTCTTCTTTCAGTTTTTAGGAATAGCATTTCTTGGAATTGGACTGTGGGCATGGAATGAAAAAGTAAGTTAAACGTCATGAAAATGCACACATTTTGGTTATTAGCAGCTGTACATTATATTGTCTCCTTTTCCTCTTTGACAATTACAGAGTATAAAGAACCATGGCTTTTTAAAAATTATTATTTATTTATTTTTATTTATTTATTTTTTTAAAGATGACCGGTAAGGGGATCTTAACTCTTGACTTGGTGTTGTCAGCACCACGCTCTTCCAAGTGAGCCACGGGCCGGCCCCTAGAACCATGGCTTTTTAAAAATTATTATTTATTTATTTTTATTTATTTATTTTTTTAAAGATGACCGGTAAGGGGATCTTAACTCTTGACTTGGTGTTGTCAGCACCACGCTCTTCCAAGTGAGCCACGGGCCGGCCCCTAGAACCATGGCTTTTTAATGAAGAAAATGTCATTGGAAGATATATGTCATGTTCTCAGAGACTCTTTAGGAAAGGAGCTTGAATTGATCAGTGCATCAAAATAAAGGAGTAATAGTAGACATCCACAGCAGAGAATGTACATTGGGATTTGATCCATTAGCCAGAGATTCATGTTCCCACAGAATATTTCCTTACTCAGGCATGAGAATCTCAGTAATGTTTATAAATATCACTAAACCACCTGTAGCCTTTTTTCTCTTTTGCTTTTTTTAACCGTTTGGAAGATGACTAAAACCATAAAACATTATTTTTTAGTAGAAGTGTTATGTGATAAACTATTAGCATGTGGTATGAAGGAAGTGGGATATAAATTCACATTTGAATATCAGATCAACTCATCATTAATGCTAAATGGGAATGCTTGGCTACCGATTATAATTATTAAGAAATATTCAAAGTTTATGGTCAAATACAGTATAGTAAAAGGAAAAATCTGGAAATCTGGAATAGCATATTCTCAGTTTCAGGGAAGGTACAATATTCTAGGCAGTTTCTGCTCTGAGTAGCACACTCATGAGAACACTACACTGTGTCCACTCCTCTGCCTTTCTTTCTATCACACCTTTTAATTTTTTCTCTACAACTTCTCCTACCGAGGCCACCACTGGAATTCAAAAATAAATATGAACCCCATTTTGCTTCCTTGTTTGGAAGTGAAATCGTCTGCAGAATTCTATCTACCCTGGTATTTGGCTATACCATAAAGCTTTTATTATCTCCCACCTTATAAGAGTGAGGGGGTGTATAGACTGGTTAAAAGTTGCTGTAAACTAAGAGGTTAGCTTAAATTTTCCCAGAAGACCATTCTCTTATCTCTTAGGTATTTCACCCACTGAGCCTGATCCTGGCCTGAAGCCAAGAGTTTCTTTGAAGTGGTAAATGTATTACGAAAGGGGAGAGAGACTAAGAAAGTTCAGTAAACAAAAGCCCCTCAGATGCTAGTAGGAATTTCCACAACTAAAACAATGTTCAGATAGACTGTATAAAACAAAACTCAAATCCTGAGTTTTGAAAATAAACCATCCTTTATTTATTTATAAAATGCTTCTACATAATGTAAAATGTTTCATGGAAAATGAGCCACCTTCCAGCAACCGGAGTAACGTTTTGCGGCAGGGCAGTGATTATATATGAAGTGAGACAAATTAAGTTCCCAAAACAGATCACTTTATCTCCAGAAACTTTTGCATTGAATACTGGTCTTCTCTCAGATTCTGATTAGCTTCTGCCTTAATCCCATTGTAAGCCTGGAGATTTGTGTTGGTGGAATTTCAAATTCCTCTTTTAGAAGCCTTCTGGTTGGTTAAATGCCACATAACACAGCTTTTTATAACTCCTTTTATAAGAGTCCATTTCAATCTGCTTTGAAAAGATGCTGAAAGGCATTAAATGAACTAATTGTCTATTCTAGCAATAAACAGACAGTTGGTTGTTTTGAAGTTTATTTTCTCTTTATGAAATACAATTATCCTTTTGTTTCATCAGTTGCCTTGAATGTCTCTTCTCTGATAAAGTCACACACAAGATTTCTAAAACTGGTAGTGTCACACAAATATCAGAGCAAAGGGGTGATGCGGTCTTTAGGGAGGGACAAAATAGTAGTCCCTTTTTTGTCAGGGGCACTGTCAGTGAAAGAAAGTTTCTCTTGCAAGCTGGAAGTTACATGGTCAAGGTCACCCAGCTACTGTGTAGCAGAACTCCATGAGCAGTGGTCAGGTAGAGGCAGGAGAGGGTAAGGGAGTTGTTCAGCCATGCAACAGCACAGTTTGAGCCATGTGTCCGGGCACTGGGCATGGGAGTATGGTAGGGGACGATGCAGAGCCCCCGTTTTGTGGAGTGTACATTCCAGTGTGGGCCCTGACAGGAAGCAGTTAACTGGTCAAGTATATGTGTCCAGGCACTGCTGAGTGCTGGCAAGAAACACCAAGTATAACGTAAGGGCTAGATAGACAGTGGTGGGAGAAAGAGTCTCTTTTAGTTGGAGTAGCTGGGAATGGCCTCTCACAGGAGTGGCATTGGAGCAAAGACCTGGATGAAGTAAGAGGAATCTGCAGAGTACCAGGAAGAGAGAATAGCAAGTGTGGTGGCCCTGAGGCAGGGCCATGGTGATGATTCCAAGGAACAGCAAGAAGACCAGTAGGACAGGAGGGAGAGAGCAAGGACAAGAAGAGCAGGGTATGTGGCAAGTGAGGCAGGCAGAGGCCAGATTTGGCAGAGTCCTGCCAAAGTGTGGATGTATTCTAGGGATGAGAGAAAGCTGCTGGGGTGTTTTGGTAAGGGAGTGTCCTAATCTGACTTTTGTTTTAAGATTGCTCTGGTTGGTGTGTGGAAAGAGCACAGCGTTGTGCATGCTGTGGAATAAATGTTTATGTCCCCCATAAATACAAACGTTGGGGATCTAATCCCCAATATGATGATATTTGGAGGTGAGGCTTTGGAGAGGTAATTAGGTCATGAGGGTGGAGCCCTCATGAATGGGATTAGTGCCCTTATCAGAAGAGAGAGGAGAAAGGTGATCTCTTTGCCAGGCAAGGACATAACCAGGAAGAGGGCCCTCACTAGACATCTAATCTGTGGGCACCTTGATCCTGGACTTCCCAACCTCCAGAACTGTGAGAAATAAATGTTTGTTATTTAAGCCACCTGGTCTATGGTATTTGTTATAGTAGCCCAAGCTAAAGGCTGGCTCTTCTATTTACAATTTTATCTGTGTGATGTTGGGCAACTGAGTTAACTTCTCTGAGATGCCCAGTCCTCATTTGTGCAGTGGAAACACTGATCTCACCTCACTGAGTTGCTGTGAGGCCCAGCACAGTTCCCGCTCCAAGGTAAATGCTCTCTGGCTCCCTCCCCTGGACCCATGACCACAGCACAGCCAGTTCTACATGGGGGCAAGAGCAGAGTGGTGGCTTTGAAAGCTGCCTCAAATTTTAGGAGAGTTGCAGGCTCCAGTGGTGAACCAAAGAATTGCTTTTGTTTGGGGGTCTTTTAAGGAGGATGTGATGTGCATTGACATCCTTGGTAACTGCAGAGGCTGCTCTGTCGAAGCCCTTTGGGTTAACTTCGAAGTTGGTCCAGGCCTCGAACCAGATGAAGTTCTGAGGTAACCCCCAGCCTTTTAGAGGGTGGTAGACAGTGTGCACCTAGTGAGCTGAAAACACCAGCCTGTGAATCAGTAAATCCCCAAACTGGGTCACAGCTGGAAGGATCAGATATGCACTGGAAGGATCAGATTTCCTTAATAGATGGGGTTTTCCACCTATTTATGTGGAAGTACATTAGGGGCAATAATTATTAAATATCAGTCTGAGTTTTAAACCTCAGACTAATATTGCAGTTGAACACTAAACATAATTTAAATCATTTTATCTAAGTTCAAAATTGACTATGAAGATGCAGAGGATGACTGGGTCTCCAGGGGATGTTTGCTTATGTGCAGTGTTTCAGACACCATAGGGTCTGCTGCTTGGAAGAAACATTAACAATTATGTAGCATGAATCACCTCTACAACACCCTTGGCAAATCCAGCCATAATCAACTCATTTATTCAAATAACATTTATTGAGCACATAGCACTTGACAGGGCTGTGCTGGATTCTAGGGATAAGAAGATGGAGAGACCTGGTTTCACAACTCAGGAAACTTAGATTTAGGAAGGGTATACATATGTAATGTGTACACACATATACATAAAATAATAGATTTCAGTAATTGCTAGTTAGGAGTGTATATACGTTTAACAATTCCCACAGCAAAGTACTCACCATTCCTGTCTCATTGGGTTGCTCTTACTGTTGGAAAGACCTTCCTTCCACCAAATTAGCATTATGTCCCACTAGTTTGCATTCACTGATTCTGTATCTACCCTGTTGGTTGCTACAGATACGTCCTTCCATATGTTAGCCCTTGAGGTATTTCAGGGTGGAGTCCTAGTTCCTTCTGAGTTTGCAGGCTAAATGTCTTTTCTCTGGTTGGTCCTTACAGTATGGGCTGGAGTCCTGTCCCCATCTGGGTTGTGCTCCCCTGGCCTCCCTCTAGTGTGTCCTCTGTAGCGTGGAGAACCATGGAGAAGGAGCATTTGGGGCTGTAGAGAGTACATATGGCTGGATTGTGTTCCTTTGCCCCTTGCCTGGTGTCAGTGCAGCTTGAGATCCACTGTTGATGACGGTCCATAGCTCACTGAGAACCCATTTGCCACAGATCCAGTTGGTTTACACCATCCACCTCATATCTGGCTGATTTTCAGTGTCAAATGCAAGAGTCCCCATTTACATGATGCTATTTCAGCCTACCTCTCCACCTGCTAGGATTGCTCTACCACCTGAACCTGTAATCCAGCAGGTTCCCCATTCCACTCAGCTTGGTTTCAGCTGTACATTTTGATCAACCTTCTCCCTCGATTTCTTCTAAAGCAGGCTTTCCTTTAGGCTGCTCCTTGCCCCCACGCCACCTGGGGAAATTTTGATTCAGTAGGTCTGGGGTAGACATTGGGATGCCCTATTTGAACAAACCTCCTAGATCATACTGATTGCAGTCAAATTTAGTTATCACTGATAACTAAAGGA